TGATTTGGGTTCTTTATGCTACATCCGGTTGATGGTTTTTTTTTCCTCTATTCGGTTCATGGATTTGGTTTTTCTTTGTTCTATTCGGTTGATGACCGAAATTTGGTAGTGGTGGGGATTGCATGTGAAATTTGGAGGTGTTGGATGGTTGTGTGGTGTGGTGGTAATTGGAAATGCAAATTGGAGAGTTGTGTGGTGGTAATTAGAAATGTAGATTGATAATTGGATGATTGTGTGGTTTGGTGTGGTGGTGGTTTTTCTTTGCTCTATTCAGTTGGTGCCTGAAACTTGGTTGAGATGGTAATTGAAGATGCGGATGGAATGTGGAGGTGGTGGTGGAAGGAGAGTTGTGTGGTGTGGATGTGTGGATGTGGTAGTGTGTGGATGTTTTGGTGTGGTGTGGAGGTGGTGGTGTGTAGTGTGGAGGCGGGGGGATGTGTGGAGGTATGATGAGGAGGTGGGTGTGTGTGGTGTGGAGGCAGTAGTGTGGTCTAGTGTGGATATGTTGGTGTCTTGATGTGCCTGTGTGTGGAAGTGTTAGTGTTATTATTGTGGTATTTCGAGTTTTCTTTAATATGGGCGATTGTGGCTTTCCTACTTATGTTAATTACCTTTTCTCATGTTAGTAATATAATGGTTAAGGCAAAAGAGTCTTGTTCATTTGCAATGTTGGATAAATAAACAAAATTAATATTTTGCAGTCTTCGCCTCAAGGAGGTCGATTTGGGAAATATGCCAATAATCAATTTCAACAAGGAAGTGTGGTAAAATATTATTAGAAAATTCAATGAAAGTGTAGACAAAGAGTATAATAGATACAGTTAAAAAATGAGTGGCATCAACTCAAGACGGATTAGAAAATCTGGAAGGAATTTAAATGAGGATCAACGGGGTTGGGGTGGAATCTGGTGAAGCGAACGATTGATGCTTCTGAGGATTTGTGGACAAAGAGACTTGTGGTTAGTATTTATGAAATGTCCCCTATTTTGGTCAATTTGTAATTTATTTTAAAATTGAACTGCATTTTATATGAATTTGTAGGTGGTGTCTACTATGAAAAAATTTATTAAATGCAGTGGAACTGATCCTGAGTCGGATGAGAAGTTGGATGTATGCTTGGGGGTGTCTCGGCATTGAACAACAATGTATGTGCCACTAGTGAGACAGGGTTTGGTATCATCCAAAAAAATAGTGAGTCGACCAATCGGGTGATTCCAGTCAAGGCCCAAGCCCAGACCTCCATGAACTTAAGTCAATGACCCTTTCTAAGTGTCCGCGGAATGAAAATGAAAAGAAAATGGGGGCTGATTTCCTTATAAGGTAGATATCATAGCTGGTGGCTTCATGCAGCAATGAAACCCGCATATCTCAAGCAACTTCTGTTCAGCAGATTCTTTAAATTTTGAATGCAACTGCAAAAATTTGTGAGAATTTGTCATTATATTTGTTTTCAATGAAGTTGTTTAAAGATTCAACCCGAAGATATATTTTCATCGGGATGTTCGATGATCGTAAGGTGTGCCTACGATATTTTTTTGAGCGCATGAACATTTGAGAGATTTCGCATGAGACATTTATATTTGTTTATTGTTTTTCCTTTTGCTTTAAATATTTAAACTTCTTGGGACATAGCTTATATGTTTATTCAATGATGCTTATATGTTAAATGTTTTGTTCGTAACCTTTTATGAATATAGTTAATTTATTGATGCTTATGTGTTAGCCGCTCTGATACTAAAATAAATGGATGCAACCAATGAATGACACAAAAGAAGAGTTGTAGTTGTCATATGTTTGATGTATGAATAATATAACTCATACATAAAGTGCTCCCCTTGCATGACATCCTCGTATGCTGGTGACAAATGTGTTGGGAAGTTGCTTGCGGGCCACCTAACAATATTTAACAATATATTTCACACGACACAGACGGTATTGACTAATTTGTTGGAGAAACTACACAGAAATTATGGACTTCATGACTCATCCAAGACGACTTTGTGAAAGGTGTTGGCAATAACCCTATACATATTATTGCATAATGTATTAATGCGATGAGCAATGAAGCGATTTAAGAGTCCTCCGAAGCAATTTGCAGATACTTCTCGATAATGCACTTGTAATTTTTTTCTTCATAAGTCATAAAACCAACAAATTCTAGGTTTGAACGGACCCCCAAAGAGATTTCACACGATGCACAACATATGTCATACTTATTGGGTAATTTCTTCAATTTTTTAGATTCAATTTTCAAATAAATATCTCAACCACATAACCTTTCATTATATCTCTAGAATTATATTGAAACAATCGATAAAATACATATTTATGCACTTGTTCCAAATAATGAGAAGATTGTATTCATCAGCCATTGTGGTTCCTCGATATAGAATGTCACTTGAACATGTGTTTCACCTTTATTATAGTCGGTTGGGAGGGCAGTGCACATAAAAGTAAATTTTTAAAAGCTACAATATGGAATAATAAGTACAACTTCCCACATCCATCTATAGGTATGCCTGAGACTGAACAACTGTCCTAATTCAATTTTTTCCACAATACTAATCATATAATCACATAACGTAAATATTATTTGGTTAATGTTGGATATCCATTGCAGCGAGTGTATCTCAAGCCCTATCATGATACTATATACCATGTATCTGATTTTGAGCAAACCAACAATGTCACGTGGGGAATAAAAGACTTTCTTCCTCGTGTGGTTTCATTGAGAGGACTTATGGTGTTTTGAAGAAGAAATATGTCATACTATGTGATATGTCATCTTATCCATTTTTCAAATAG